AATTTTCTAAAATATTAAGTGTTTAATTTTTCGAAGACCTAACCTTTGACCCGTTATAGCACCTGTAATATAAGCTTTCTCAAAAAAATTTATATACCATATAAATAAGAGCAAACTACGGACTACGAACGTATTTATACTTTTCTTGCTTTTACATGCAATAATTAAAAATAATTTTTTACCAAAGGTCCAATTTCGAACTTCGAAGGCCCACATCTCGATTTCGGAGGCTAACTTCGAAAAACGGAAAAATTACTTTTTTTACTTATGACTCAATCTCTTAAAAAAAGTTGGTTTGGTCCAATACCCAGTCGAGTGCTGTAGAGTGTAAATGATTCCTTGCTAAAAAATATACATATGGGTGTTTCCATGAAAATGTCAACCAGGACTAAAAAAATAAAAACAACTGAAAAGGGTTTTTAAGACGAATTAATAAGAGAAAAATACTCGAATTTTTATATTATAGAAGTATTTCAACTTATTGGAATTTTAAAATTCAAAAATGGAAGAGTAAAACTGAATGTCTCTTCGACTCAGTTTTCTCTAATGAAATGAACTATTTTCTCTTTCCTATTAACTAAATTAAGAGACTTGAAACATTACAATTACATCTTAAAATCAAATTTGCAATAACAACTAACTATAAAAATGAGAAAAAAGAGAATAACGAATAACGGTAATTTTTTGATTTGCTTCTGATAGTATTCGAATGTTGCGTACGTTATGCAAAAACATTGTTTGTCTATGTCATTTTTTATATTGGCAGTCGCAGGTAATGCAGATTACAATTCTTAAGCGAGAATTCTTCTAGTTAAAGATATACAGTAAAATTTTCTTTCCAACCGAAGTAAAAATATATTTTATTACCCTTTAAAGTTTGTCGCATACGTTATTGTAAGTACGAAAATTTCAATCAAATACATCAAAACCAATGTTAATTGCAAATTTTCCATTTAAATTATTTAGAATAGTTGTAAAACAATGAAACGGTGGCGAGAAGAGTTCTCAATAAATAAATTTTATTACTTACGAGAAAAATTATCGCGTACGTTATGTCGCGTACGTTATTGTTTTTTTTTAATATAAAACTAGCCAGAGATAATTTCTCTTAAAATATGAAAGGATTGTAAAGGTACATTATTTAGCTTAGTTTAGGAAAAGAAAAACTCCCATGATTCGCAGACTTTCGCATATATGCGTGTTTCCATGAAAATGTAAACCGAAAATGCAAGAAAATGAATTCAAACGGCTTTATAACTTTAAGTTTCGTATTCAGATGGGGGAAAAAGGTTTTGAAAACGCGAAACCGTGGAAAGAACTGAAAAAATTTAATTTAGTATGTGTTACTAGTAAAAATATTGTATGGGTGAAAAATCTGTCGCGTACGTTATGTCGCGTACGTTATTATATTTTTTTTTAATAAAAACAAACCAGAGATAATTTCCATCAAAAAATGGAAGGATTGTAAAGGTACATTATTTAGCTTAGTTTAGGAATTTTTAAAGAAAAGAAAAACTCTCATGATTCGCAGACTTTCGCATATATGTATATGTGCCTTAAAACCACTTCTTTTTTTGTCGCGTACGTTATCACCTGGTTTTGAACGGATATTTTCCACACCAAAGTTTCGAGGCTGCTTATTTTTTTCTCAAACATAGTACCCTTTGGTTTCAACATAACCGTAATCTTTTTTTTCTGTAACTTCTATTTTTGATAGATTTACGTTACTCTATAAGCGTACGAATGTCGCGTACGGCTGTATGGAAACACCCATATGTAAGTAATTTATGACAAATTTATCGGTAGATTTTAGTCGTTTCACAACTGATTTGCTTGAAATGTCCCGGAAGACTTTCGCCGACGATATGGCCGACTATATTCGGTATTTCGTTTAAATTTTTTGCTAAATTACTCGAAGGTTCTAATACAATATGAACATGGGTTTAAGTGTAAAAATGGAGGTTAGTGAGATAAAACCTGGGAAATTCTAACGGAACCAATTATGCACAATTCGCACTTTATTTGCAGGGGCGGAATCCTTGAAAACGAAGAACGGAATGCTCTACTTCGGATAATGCTTGTTGTTATTGTAATAGCATAAACATTTTCCAGAGCTGGAAGTGAATTAATGTGTATTACATGACCCGAATGTCTTACCCCCTTATTCTTGAACGAATTTTCGGAATTCGTAATTCGTAGCTATGCTACGAAAAAGGAAAAATCCACATGCTGCAACCCTTGCGGAAACATGTGCAGCATTGCCAGCTATCAGTTGTTTTTCGAAGATAGCTGAATGAAGGAAAACAAAGTGGAAAGGAATTAAAAAAACACGCATCATGTGCTTGTTTATTGTAAAATTGGTTAATTTTACATATTTTGAAGAAAATGATGTATTTGCAATTATAGCAGCAGAGTAAGCGGACGCTATGGCAATGGATTCTCACAAAGGTATGCGGAACTATCGGGCATAGTAACCATGGGCGCATCTATGGCAGCTTCTGGTTGAATTGTTAAACCACAAGCCAGAACTCCTCCTATGCCTGCAGCTCTGGTTCTCAATCCAGTTAATGCGATAACAGGTTCTTCCAAGCCATTGAAAACATGCACTTTGTTAGGTTCACCACCTGTTGCGCTGCTTCTGCCTTCGGCCGCGCTTACGGATTATAACCCTTACTAAGTAGAATTCTCCTTTCTGTGTTGCGGGGAAGAGGGGCTTCCGCATGTCAAAGGTATACAACATTTCTTGTGCATATCACTCCGGCTACGCCGCAGAACCCACGTCGAAATTTGCAAAAAAGTGCAAAGTGCAAACCGAACTTATTAATAAACTACTGGTAGGAAATTTGACACATTTATCTTAAATAAAATGTGAATCCTTTGATTACACGTGTATGTTAAAGTTTTTGGATTCGGGTTATGCGTTTGGACACAACAACCGAAAATCGTTGTACATTAACTAAACCGGATCCAAGTTTCTCGATAAGGGGCAACAAATATTATTTTTTGCTCGTTTATATAAAGCAGTGGATAAAAATATACGTATATGCGAAAGGCAAATTTATCTGTTTAAATGAACACTACCAATATTTCTTGCAAATACATCGATTTATATCTTTTATTTCGCCTCCGACACAGAATTGTTTTCGTACAAAATTACGCAAAAAAGCTTACTCGTTCGTTTTAAGGCATGCCATTGTTACGAATTTCGAAAGTTCGAAAATACGATTCGGGTTGCAGCATACTATTTCTACGATTCGTAGCAAAATCCCAATACGAAAGAGTTGCAGAGTAGGGGTGTTAGTAATGAGCGGGGCTGGAAAAATATGCATAATCAAATTGATTTTAAGCGCTTTAAAAACCTCGATAAATATACGAATATTATTATCGCGTGGGATTCAAACCTGTTTTATCATCAGGTTTCATTTTTTATTCAGTTTACAACAATAAAATACACTTTGGGTATTCATTTAACGTGATAAACTTCCGATTAAAGTGATATCATGGAAACACCCATATGTAGCCCGAGTTTCTGACTTAAACACTTTCAAGTTTTTTTGAATATTTAAATGTCTGTGTTCAACATTTTCTAGTGGGAAAGGTGAAGTTTGGGAATGCAAAAAGTAATGGATAGCCCCTATGCAAGCATTTCTCTACAGCGTTGTCATACGAAAGTAATGTGTAGCATGTCGCTTTTCGAAACTATAAATAGAATCTATAAATAGAATTTTTAAATACATCAAAATAAAAATGTAAATAAAGTCCGTGCCACAGGTTTTGAAGCCGTGACCAACAACACAGCAGTCGAATATGTATTCATTCGGCTACTGCAGCTGTTGAGATAGCGTGAACAAAAAACATACTTGAGTTCGTTTCGCTCGCTTACATTGCGATGCATCTTTTCGTTCAACCGTAGTGGTTAATCTTTCCTTGGTAGAGAAAGGTAATGGATGCCCATTTTCCCACTGGGTTGGAACTTCTCTATAGCACTTCACAATTTATTTTAACATCAAACCTTTTTTAATGCTTTGTAATGTCTACCTACTATCAACCAACCAAAATTTGCCTCAGGGAACGCAGTCTGTTCGGATTTCTTCAAATGCAGCAGTTTTGGGATAACTGGGGCTAACCGTTGATTTTTGGCAATTTTATTTGCCGGCGATGTAATGAATTTTCTTCCATACAAAAAATATTCCTGTTCGACGATTTTTTAATATGGAAGAAAATTAGCAACACCTTCACCAAACTGCCAAGAATCAACGGTTAGTATGAGCTACTTCAAACTTGCAGTTTATTGTACTAGAATTGAATGGGTTACAAAACTTCATGTTCAAAATCTTACTAAGAAAAGTAGTTAAAAAGCTTGACATTTTTAGGAACTTTAAAAATTCGAAAAAATAGATTCCATTGTTGCCCCATTATAAGACTAGGCTTAAAAGTTGTGGAATGAGTGACAGAAACTTTACAAGTAAATCGATCGGTACGTGTTTTTGGAAATCAACATTTTATTATTATTTATAATTCCAAGTCAGGGACCGCAAATAATAATTTTTTTTAGACTTCAACTCAAAAAATCACACTGAAGGTGTAATATCGCGAGCATAAGGAGCAAACCAACATACTACCTCTTACTCGGAATATGTTCAGAAGCCCTGATTTTTGTTTTTTAACTTCTATTTAAAAAAATCAAGTTTAATAATTATTTCTTTAGTTTTATTTATTACTCAGAAAAGAACAGTTTTTGAGTTAAATTAATTTCTTGGAAAATAATCGTAATTTTTTTAGTTTTATTTATTGCTCTGAAAATAATGTAACAAAAACCAAGACTGAGTCAAAAACAAAGGCAAAGGCAACAACAAAGCCGGAGACACTCACAACCTAGATTGAAGGATAAAGCTCTAATGATAACGATGAAGACGAAGATGAATATAAAGAAAAAGAAAATGGTAATGGTAATAGTAGTGGTATTGGTGATGGTAATGATAATGGAAATGGTAGTTGTAATGCCAATCGTCGTTTTGTGTTCGTAATTGCAATGGTAAATATAATTATTATTAGTTCGAATTCATACACAACTTCGTATTCGTGTTCGCATTTTCATTCGTATGCGTCTTCGTGTTAATTTTCGTTTCCCTCGTCGTCACCTTCGCCTCGTGATCGCTTTCATGTTCGCCTTTGTAACCATCTTTGTATTCGTGTTCGGCTTTTCCATCGTTATGGTATTCGTCTTTGGCTTTATGCTGACTCGTGTATATCGCTGTGTATTGAGTTTATTGGCTTAGTTCATTGAAAACAAGTGAGCTGAAAAGGTGAGTTGGTAGAAAACAAAATTTCATATGTTCATTTCATAACAGAGCACACACTACTGAGGCTGTCGTTTTCGTGATCACCTTCGTATGCGTGTTCGCTTTCGTGTTCGGCCTCCCCATCGTTATCTTATTTGTCGTTGTCTTTGGATTTGCCGTAGGTTTAGTCTTAATCTTAGTATATTCCTTAACCACAAACGACAGCTGTACCTGCGAAGAGATCAAGAAGCCTAAACAGGCTACTTTGTCTGATCATGCTCACTGCAATGCCACTGACGTTGCCAAAGTAGCTTATTGATGGCCATTTTGGACAACTCAAAAGTACCGGTATCCATACCGTGGCCCTGGGTGGGGATAGACGTCAAGTTATCGAGTCTCGTTATGGACTACGTTCTCGATAAACCGCGGGTCCAGATCCGGAATTTGATTCCTCTGGATCCTTCCGAGGATTCATGGTTATCAGATCGCTGACTGCGTCGCTAAAATGAGCGAAACACTCGTCGACTTTAAACTAAGGCTGATTCCAGCTAAGCACGTCCCTCATAGGCCACGTGCGCGTATCTTGTTTGCTTCTCTGGAGGAACCAGACGAGAAGCTGCTGAGGTGCCTAATGCATCAGAATAAACACGTGCAGTGTATAGCAGACTGGCAACTTATAAAAGTTGAACAGCTCAACAGGACCAGCAGACCATTGAGGCACTGTCAAATGGGGACAGCAAAATTCGCTTTGGCATCCGCATGGCCAAGATGAAAATCTTTCAAGGCGACAAGGCTTCTAATGAAAACGAACCTAAGGAGGTCGATGATGGGAGCCTGTTGCTGAAAGACGTCAATGTCGATGCAGACTCCGACGCTGGTGAAGTGCATTAATCTGCAGCACTCAATATAACAATAATCTGTCAATCCTTCCAGGAGAGGGAAGCATCGACATCACCCTAATCCAAGAGCCGTGGATAAGATATGATGATCCGATCCACAGATTTAAAATCAGCACATATAACATCTTCTATAGGTAAACCGTGACCGAGCATTCTAATCAAAAAAGGTGGAGATGGAAGGGCATCAAAACCTCTTCCTGGCAGCTGCCCACCTGGTTCATGACAGGGCCGCCCCCTAACGAGGTAGAACACTTCATCGCTTACATTTTATATTACCTTCATATGTCCAGCACCCAAAGATTTTCTGGATGGGATGGAGTGCTGGACTTAACCCTGACAATAGATGGTATTGTCGTAGATGACTGGAGAGTATCCATTGAAACATTCGTGTCGGATTAAAACTGCTGTAGTGCTGGATAACACGATAGGTAAACTGGAAAACTTCTAGCTATAGCCTTTTAAAGAATCCACACCTGTAAGCGTCCTTAAGAAAAATGCCTGCGCTTTCTGAAATCAGCCCCAAAGCGTCAGGCTACTAGAAAGCGCTGAAAGCTTAACGAATCCGAGAAACAATCAGACTATACCACTCCTACGATAGAGTTCAGAAAAAACTTTCAGGGGAAGTTGCCTTCTAGACGGGATTAGAGTAAGATCAGGATTGTTGAGGAGAATTCCACTGGAATCTATACTGACAGGTCCAAAATGGACTGGGGTGTGGCTACGAGGGTGTTCTCCGAGATGCTGAATGTGTCTCCCTCGCTACGGGTACCGAACTCTGCTAGCATCTTCCAAGCGGAGGGACTGCGTGGTGGTGCAAAAAGCATATATCTTCTCAGATAGCTAAACGGCACTTCTGGCACTTGCCTCACCGGTAACAAAGTCTAAGGCACGGTACACATTAGAGCGATACGATATGCGATACGATACGAAAGCAACATCGACATGTTGAGTACGTGAGAATTGGTAGGAAGCGATGAAAACTGTGCACACTTGCACGACAGCGATACTGCTGCGACATAATATCGCATGCGTATCGGCCGAGCGACACTGCTACCACATAATATCGCATGCGTATCGGCCGTGCGACACTGCTGCGATATAATATCGCATGCGTATCGGACGTACGACACGGTTTACTATCCCACCGCCCATGGTATTGCGTGTCGCATCGGTCTAGTGTGCACTACGCGCATCTCGATGTCGCTTTCATATCGCATCGCGCATCGTATCGCTCTAATGTGCACCGTGCCTAACACAGTAAGATTGCAAGTGCACGTTAAGCTCGACGGCCGAGTCAATAGGAATCTCTCATCTGTGTTCCCGGCCATATAACATACATACATAGAAATGAGAGGGCCGACGAGTTGACTAAGGCCGGGGCATCTCTTGATGAATCCGAAGCTGAGACATTAAACCGTCCACTCGGACTCATCAAAAGGGAACTGCATCTACAACCAAAGATAGAGGAACTTCTAAAGAGGTCAAGGAAAGATAAAGTCAGTTTAACTGTCACGATAACTGGACATTGGCCCATTGGCGAACATGGAGAACCCACGGTCTCGCACTTTCAATCTAGAGGGAAGCTCAGGCGACGCTGCTACCAAGCAACCATATTCCTTAACCAGAAGCTACTTTTTATTTTATTTTATTTTTTATGCAAAAAATTAAACTCAAGAAATAAGGATTATTTTCTGAGCAAAATAAAACAAAAAACTAAAAAATAATGATTATTTTCTAAGCAAAAAATAAAACTCGAAAAATAACGATTACTTTCTGAGTAAAACGTAAAACTCAAAAAATAACGATTACTTAACAAAAAATAAAACTAAAAAAATAACGATAATTTTTCAAGTAAAAGTAAAACTCAATACATAACTTTTATTTTGTGAGCAATAAATAAAACTAAAATAACTAATAAAAAAATTTAAAGACACGCTTTTGTTAGTGGAAAGTAAAAGAAGAAAATTCGATCCTAGCACCAACTATTGGCTAAATTTTTTACACCACAATATTTTTTTGGAGTGAAATACTTTTTTTTGTTTACATTCTCTACAAGACATCTGCCGGTCGTATGACTGGGAGATCGGCAGCCTTTTTGCATCATATTTAATGTCAGAATTGAAGGGATTTCTGAAAAATCTGACCAGTTCTTTAGTGTACAAGTTGATGTTAACTTAAGGTCTCTGTTTTACTGCCTTAAAATTGTAGGGAAATTTTTATAGCGTTTTTTATGTGTATTGGTTTTTATTTGAGTGTATTGAGAATCGGTCAGTCTAAAACGGCATGTTTTTTTAGGGTTCTTTATCGAAAAAAGTAGACACCTAATTTTCATTTCATTATGATATTCGAAAATCTGGAAATAAGACTTTCGAAACTTTGAACTCACAGAAAAGTATCTTTCTTCAATTTTTTGCAGTTAATAAACTATTTGTCGGAGAAAATCAGTTAAGTAATTAAAATGTTGTAATTACCTCGGCTTTCCATTAGAGTATGAGATGGTTTATAATTATGGATTTTTTTCGACATTTTCGAATATCATAATGAAATAAAAAATAGGGGTTTTCTTTTTATCGATAAAGAATGTAAAAAAAATATTTCTTACCAAAAAAATATTGAGGTATAATTTTTGCTTGAAATGGCCCATATATAGTCTTGTGAAAAATTATAGGCACACGACATTTTGACCAGTTTCGGCAATTCATCTTTTGATCGTTTAATGTTTATTATTTTTTTATAAAAACACACTTCATTATCTAAGAAACACCATATAAGTCCAAGTATCAGACCCTAGCGATAAATTCAACAAACGTTTATGACAACAATCTTTTTATTAAGAACTTTCAGAACAAATCTAATTATTCAGTTTTATAGCCCATTTAATTCTAGCTTAAAAAGTGCAAGTTTCATGTGGCTAAGAAATCGCGTGGATTTTTGATAACTTTTTTTCTGACGGTGCCACTCATTTTTTTCCATACAAAATATTTTTGACATTTGTTTTTGTATGGAAGAAAATAATAAGACCATTTTGTTGAATTTTTTTACAAAATTTGAAGTTTGGACTTAAGTGGTGTTTGTTAAATAGTGAGCTGTATTTTTATAAAAAAATAATAAACATTAAATAAAAAAAAGAAAAATAGCCGATACTGGTCAAAATGTCGTGCTCCTATTATTTTTCACATGACTGTATATATTCTAAATATGAAACGAATCGGACTATGAATATGAATTTTTCAAATATCTCGACTCGTTCCCCATCTATCCGGAAATTTTTTTTGTGGAGTTATACCATTTCATGTACATATGTACATATGTAATACATATTCCAAATATGAACACTATCGGTTAATAAATACGGGGTTTTCATATATCTCGTCACCTGCGCCACCTAGTTGATTAATTCTTTCTTATTACATTGTCATCAGGCTCCAAGTCTCTAGCTCATCGACAAGTTGGTAAAAAATTGATTGCAAGATTTGATTACACACAGGTGAAACATAATAAAAGCTTGTAAAAATAATGATTATTTTTCTAGCAAAAAATAAAACTAAAAAAAAAACGATTATTTTTCGAGTTAAAAATAAAACTCAATAAACAACTCTTATTTCGTGAGCAATAAATAAAACTAAAAAAAAATAATGATTATTTTTCAAGCAAAAAATAAAACTATAATAACTATTAAAAGTAATTTTTTGAATAAAAGTCATAACCGTTGCGGTCCCTGTTCGATATCTCGAAAACTGCTGGACAAAAAAATTATAAAAATCGGTGAGGCCTCAATTAGTACAATATCATAAAAAATAATAATAGTGTAAGTACTACAATTGTATACACCTGCGCTATGTATCATAAACATGAATCTTTAAATAATTTTTGAGTATGCAGTTTTGTAGTTTTTTTTTCATATCGTACTCCTAAATATAAAAATATAACTACTGGTGGATCGTACAGATTCACAGATTTAGTTAGTGAATATAAACACGAGGAAAAAATATTTGCATTAATTGGAGATATGTCCTGTGAATTGATTTATGCAAAAAATTATCCCAAAATTTTTTGGTGTCAGCTCTCGTTAGATCCAGGTGTGCAATTTATAAAATCGTACTTTAATTATTTTATTTTATTTTTTTGCGAACGGTCTTTTTTTAATTTTGTGTAAGGTTTGAAACTTTAGTTCATATAAGTTTGGTTAAAGCATGAACAACAAAATATTTTAACTGAAAAAACATTGCGAATATTGAAAAAAAAGTCAAAATGTCAACACTTGTTTGAGTCATTATATATACATATGTATACTTTTTTGTCCTCGCTACTATTTTTTCAATGCCCCTTATTGTATTCAAACCTTCTTTGGCGGAAGACTAATTTTGAATTTTTCCAAAATCAGTTTGACAGTAGACCCCATGCTCTTCTATAAACCTCTTCTGAATCTTATCCAAAATATTTAAACATTGCTTGCACTATTGTTTTCCTTTTTCTCGTTCCGTAAAATTAATAATACCTAAAAGTTTTCAATCAATGGACGTCGTAAAAACAAAAATTAAATTATGTGGTTATGTAATTCTGAAGAAATTTTTGGATCGGTTTAAGTGCTACAGTTATTATTTTATATGCTGTGTAATTTAATAAGTATTTGCATTATTTAAATGGAGCAGCAATTTTTTGCTTTCGATTCCACCGATTCTCTATTAGTTTAATACATGCAAGTATTACATTTACAGAAAATAATCAAGTGAATGAGTGCAAATGCATAGGGCATTATGAAGTAACCTCACTGCGTCCAAGAGGTTTCTCGAGTTATGGCAGCTAACTGGGGCTGTTGTCATCAGTCTCAATTTGTTCAAAAGATTTCATTAAAACTTCATATCTACTGAATGCAAACTTTATTTAAGTAATTTAAGCTAAAAACACAATAACAGCGAATAAGCCTACAAAAGTACCTAAAGTATCTAAGTGCAATACAAAACATCAACTCTTTGGTAAATACGTATGTATGTATGTATGTATGTGTAAATTGCATTTTATACAAACAACGATAAGGCAAATGAGAGGCAAAGAGTACTACAATTGAAGCAAGCAAAATTATGTAAAATGAATTTCTTCCTAAAACGTCATATAAGGCTAATATAAATTTTTTGTTTTAATTTTGTGATCTACTTTTTATTTTGAAGCGATATAATTATTAAGGTAAAGTGCCAATATTCGCTCATGAGTAGACGCATATATAATTATAGGTATGCGCATATGTATGTGTAGAATCAGGCAATGAGAATAAATTCGTAAGTGTTTTTAAACATAATCTATACCTTAGATACTACCAGTCAATTGGTATTGAGATATTCAAATCATCGATTAATCAAATATAAAATTTTATAAAGTCTAAATGTATTAAGGAATAACACTACAGTATACCGACTGCTGAGTGGAAGCTCGACCTATCTCGGCAGCCAGTTCGAAAACGCCCTATCTCAAAAAACTTTTCAAAAACGCTCTATTTCAGAATTTTATATAAAAATATTATCTCATAATTTGGTTGCAGACGCCCTATCTCAGAACTCGGTTCAAAAACGCCCTATCTCACTTCAAAATGTATAGAAAATGTGCTGTTATAGGGCGTTTTTGAATCGGCAGCTGAGAAAAGGTCGTTTTTGAAACGAGTTCTGAAATAGGGCGTCCTTCAACCAAATTCTAAAATAGGGCGTACTTGAAACATTTTTTCGAACTGGCTGCCGAGATAGGTCGATCTTCCACTCAGCAGTCGATATGGTTCAAAAATTGATATTTGAATATGGGAAGACATGCACGAAAACCTTTTTCCTGAAAATCTCATTTGTTTCTTTTTTACGAAAACACTGAACCATTTATACCACGTGACGAAACTTTAAGTGCGTTTTTCTCGAAACACGGTTTTCGAAATCGACACTTCGCATAATTCAAATAACCCGGAATTTTCAATGGGTCGACAAGATCTTCAATATATTAATGACAACTGTTTTTGGTCCAATCAAGCTTTTTGCCAATTACACAAATATGAGCATTTATTATTTTATACATCTATTAATGTCGATTAAGTCAAATACATATCGACTGCTGAGTGGAAGACCAACCTATCTCGGCAGCCAGTTCGAAAATGCTCTATCTCAAAAAACTTTTAAAGAACTCCCTATTTCAAAACTTAGTTGAAGAACATCCTATTTTATAATTCGTTTCAAAAACGCCCTATATCAGCATATTTTCAATACATTTTGAAGTCAGAGAGGGCGTTCTTCAACCGAATAGGGCGTCCTTCAACCAAATCCTAAAATAGGGTGTTTTTCAATCAAATTCTGAAATAGGGCGTTCTTGAAAAATTTTTTGACATAGAGCGTTTTTGAACTGGCTGCCGAGATAGGTCGATCTTCCACTCAGTAGTCGATATACATATATTTTTCTTATTTGAGTAAAAATTGTAATACTTATGATGAATAGTGCCTGAAGTCCAGCAAGTCTTTTGGAATTTTTTCATTGAATATTGTATTTAAATACATATGTACGGTATGTACCTACTCAAAAAACTCCAGTTTTTTCATATACTTCCATCCCTCCACGTATACCGTCGCCTGGTTAAAAGATTGCCATATGTTACTTTCGGCAGATTTTGGGAAATCGCGATTGAAGTTTGCGTGACGTGACGATAGATTTTCTCAA